TGATTTATGTTTTCATACATATTCACTCAGCAACAATGCATGAATAACTTTAAGACTGCAGTAGTACAAACTCGTTGTGCTAGTTTTTACTTTGTTTCAGCCCACAAATAAATATAAATAGATGCATTTAGTATATTTCACCTTTTCCTAGTAAAACATTATGGGCAAGCTTGGAAGTGCAAAGAGTGGCTATGCAACACCATTCCCTGATCTAATTAACAAATACTCATACAGAGTATTTTTTAGGTAAACAAGAAAAGATTAGAAATGAGGAAAGAGCTTGTTCTGTACTCCAGGCATGGGCAGCTCTCCCTGCTATTCCTCACTGAAAGCAGAATACCAGGGATTTCTTAGTGTTAGATCTTCCCAAATAACTTGAACACAATGACATTCACTTGAGAATGCCTAAAAAGAAAAGCTAAATAATAACTCCAGGCATCACCCATAACTTGTTCTAAAATCCAGCTCTGTTTTGCAGCTCCCAGCACACACAGGTAACAGGACTGACCTTGTTGAAATCTCTCTGGGTAAGCAAGATAGCTCTAAAAAAAGAACACCAGGCCCTCACGATTAATTGCTACCTATTAATAAATTAGCATATTTCTCCCTCTTCTCCCAGACATACCTATAAATGTAGCTGTCCAACAGCTTTACCAGGAATGGAAATCTGAGTATTTCATGACATATGCAGGAATAAGTAATGTCCATGAACTCCTGAGAAAGGGAATAACTGAACCTGGATGCAATAATGAGCCCCAAGCAGATGTGATCCCCAGCCAGCCGAGTCTACAGCTCCAGTGACAAAGGCCAGGCTGCAATGGAGCCCCACAACAACAGAGGCTTCCAACTACAAGCATGTCAAACTTGTCTTTACTGTGTAAAATTCTGCTTGAAGTCACAACTCACACAAGCACGTGAAGCCTGGGGAAAGGGGGAAGAGACAGATCAGGCTACAGCAAACAAAGAGGAGGCACAGCCATGTCCTTAAGACAACAGTGACATTTCTCACACAGGACCTCTGTGGCAAATGCTGCTTTCCTCCTCCTCTTCCTCACATCTTTTGAGGAATGACCTCAACTGAGGGGTTTCCAGTAGCCAGGGACTTCTTAGACCAGAAAAAGTTTCACCATACCATCAATTGTCATTATGCCAGTAAAATTAAGTCACTTTTATACAGTGTACTGCAAATGTGCTGCAACTTCTATGACCACTCACCTGCTCTGCAAGAAGCTGAGCAAATCTAGGAATACCTCTTGAGGAACTCTCAAGAAATTCAGGCACACGAGAGAGTGCTGTGGTATACAGGTGAGGACTTTGAGCCCCCAAGCATCTTACACTGCACAAAAGCAAGATCACAGGTCAACTACAACACTGCCCAGATGTTAGTCTGTACCACAACAAGGATCAACTCAAAACAACCCAGAGAAACAAACCCCAAACACACCTTCTCAGCAGAGTTAGGAAACAGTGCAGACAATATTGCTCAAAGAGCACAGACTCCATGCCAGCCCAGGCAGAAGTAAATCAACACAGCATCTAGGAAAATGCATACCTTTTCATGGCTGAATATGGCCTTAAGTACTATCTGAATTCATTGTGCTCAAAGAGAAACCTTTAACTACACCATCACTTCTTTCAGACAGAAATCGAGGTGGTGCTTACAGAAAAAGCAGATTATTTTCAAACATTGATGCTGTAGCTAAAAAGTTATCACATCCTTGCTTGAAAAATGCTTCATGTACACAGAAAATTGTTGGCAATAAAAGCAGAAGTCTTCCTCTGCAGTTTCAGTTTAACTAGACCAGCTCTTATTAGCTGCATAGCCTGCTATTGCCAGTACAGCGCCCTGTGCCAGAAAAAACACCCTTGTTCACAAAAAATAGCAGCATTCTAGTCTGAATTAGCAAGAGAAGACAAGCAACTGTGTTTTGTATCAGCTGTTGTTGGTAACAATGAACAGAGCCCTTTTTATTTAAAACCTGACTACAAATATCTAAAAATATTTATGTTTAGCTTAATACTTCTTTATAGGTTCCATTTTAAATGCTGGATAAATGCCTCTTACAGTATTTTCCAAGGACTGAACATCTCAAAATCTCAGAGCAAAACTCTTCAGAACAAGAGTTACCTTGTAAAAAAAGTTATTTAAGAGCAACAAAAAAGTAGGCTGACCAGGAACAAATAAGCTGTCCAGCATCCAGCAGTGGTCATACAGCCTACTTTGGGATTTTGCTTTTTAGGAGTTTGCTTCATGGAAAAGGGTAAGTTTCCATGATTCCTTTTGGTCTGGAAAAGTTATAAAAAATATTTAATTTATCAAAGTTTGATGGGGGGGAGAGCGAGAAGGGGCTCAGTTTCACGTTGAACATTAATATGGACTGAGTCAGATCACTTATTTCCACCATTCTCTACATTTTTGCCAAGATATTTTTTATCATTGTGTGATAAGTAAGAATCATTATCTGCAAAACCAATCTCCCCAGTGAGAGCTGGCATCTCCCAGCAGTTTTTTACATCATGCTCCTAAAATACATCTCCACAGCACCACAGCACTGACTACTGGCAGCAGATATCACCAGTTTATTTTTGCCCAGAGTTCAACAAGATCATGGCATCACTTCTCACACAAGGCACGTGCAAGACAACAAAGAGCTTAAGCTCCCCTCCAAACACTTGTTCATAAAACTAACCTTGAGAATTAAATGAAATATTCATAAGGTAAAATTAAATTGGTCTTGGTCAAACATGAAACCCATTGGTTGTGAACTACACAGTAAATAACTACTTCAGGTTGAAAATAAACGATGAGACATTGTGCTAACAAGGCTGTTAGCTAGCTATTAAAGCCTCTATTTTCATGTTCAGAGATGAAAGTATAACCATAAAGAAGAATTTTCCACATGTCATTTCTTTATTACAGTCTTGTCACGCAGGGAGTGACATAAAATGACTCTGTGTACTAAACAAGTCCAACGCTTACCTAGAAACTGAAAAACAACAGCACAAACAAAAGTCACCAGGAGTCTTTAATTTATTCCTTTACATTTCAAAGTACAAGTGTTTGCATTAGTCAGAAGATCCACCCCCCAACTACAGCCAGCCCTCAAATTATTCTGCAAAACACTAATTGAGGGTCCAGCTGAAGAGTTACCTGTTCAAGGAACCTGCAAGTAAAATAAATTATGCAAGAAAGGAAGCCAAGCATGCTTAAGAATAATAAAGGCTTTTAAAATTATTAGCAGGTTTACTCTTTAATCTGGCAAGGCAACAAACTTTCAGCACCCAAGAGAAAAAACACAATGAGGGAAAAGCTTTATATAAATATCCCGCATGCCAAAGCAAAAGGCTTATTTCATTGGAACAATGCACTCCTGTTTAAACCAATTCCAAGCATAAAAAAAAAGAGAGATCTTTCTGGGGAAGTTATTTATATGTTAACGCATAACTTCACAGCACGTTTGCGTGGAATCCTCTCCTCACAAAGGCTGCTTGGACAGTCGCTCACTGGCACCGGCGCCTTCAGGCACATGTTCACGCTCAGGAGGGCTGGGAGTATCCATCTCTGGCTGTCTGAAAACACGGGTCTGCTTTCCAAACCTGCCGGAGTGAGTGTGGGGCCGCATTGCCGCCAAGCGCTGACCGCAGGCCGCTGGCGCCGAGCGAAGCACGGCGGGCAGAAATGGCTGCTCCGAGCCAGAGAGGGAGAGAGAGCGCCGCTCCCAGCGCGGGCAAACCTGCACCCCTCACAACATTCCCAACTCCTCAGCAAATTAAACTCCAGCTAAGCCTGCGAAAATACTTTATGTAACCAAAGAGGATCACACTAAAACCTAATGCCGCAAGAAAAAAAAAAAAAAAAAAAAAAAAAAAAAGAGAGACGCGCGCTCCAGAAGCCATAAATCCCTCACCCTAACCCATAGCTCCACTTCCCTTTGATTCATTCCCTGTAGAGCGGGAACTGCGACACCCCGGCTGGCATTCGGAAAGAGCTCGCAGGGTCCAAGCGCAGTATGACAGCACGGGGTTGAACCTGCCCTCGGAGGAAGCCCCGGTAACACCAAGCGCTGCCGAAATGCCCGGGCAGGAGCGGAGCGCCCGCAGCTATCCCGACACCCGGAGCCCCCCGGGGCTGCGCGGGCTGCACATTGCAGCCCCGCCGAGGCTTTCGCTGCTCTGTCAGCACTGCCAACAAACCTCGAAGGAGAGGAGGGCGTTTTTGCTAGCGGGAGAGGGAGACACAAGCACGCACCCGAGAGATGAGGGGTGGGAGGGATGGACGGACAGACCGGCGGACGAAGGGGCCGCTATTCACCTCTCCGAGATGGGACTCTCTTCAGTCCCATCACCGCTGAACAGGATAAAGAGTTCTTGCTTAGTTGAGCTAGTTTAAAAACTTCTTGCTTAACTTACAAACCTGAAGTTTTTTCGAACTGTCAACGGCTTTCGCTTGAGAAGCTGAAAGTTAACTTTCGCAGGACTTTTCCAACCTGAACTACTCTGATTCCACGATCTTCCTACCTGCCTGAAGGAGCGTGGCAAATCCCCGCTCCATGCAAGCAGGCTGGCCAGGACGAACACAGGGAGAAGGGGACCGAGCCGTGGGTAGAGACCCCACGGCAGATACATAGATATGCAGATATATAAATATATATATACACACACACGGACCTGGAGTTAGCCAGTCTCGCTGCAAAACTTTCTCTTCCCCAGTGTCAGAAAAAGAAAAAACCAATAGAGCACCGAAAATCCCGCAAGGCGAAGCAGGTTCCAGCAGGCGCGGAGGAGCGCCGGCAGGAGGGCGCGGGAAGCCGCCAGCTCCCGAGCACCACGCCGGGCAGTCCCGGGGCTCGGCCGGGGCCGGCGCTGGCAGAGGCCGCGCTCCCCCGCCGCCCACGCCGCCGCCCCGCCGGGCAGAGGAGCCGCGGCGGCAGCGGAGCACCCCCGGCGCGCCGCCGGAAAGTTCCCCCGGCGCCCAGACGGCAGGGCCGGCTCCCTCTTACCCTTAGTCCAGTCCACCACTTGCTTCGGGCTCCACTTGGTCACCGGCTCCATGGCGGGTCCAAGCCCACCGGCACCAGCCCCCGCTCAGACCGCAGCTCCTCCGGCCGCGGACTCGCCCCCTCTCACGCTCCCATCCCGGCAGCGCCGCTCCGGGCCGCCCCCTCCCCGGCCCGGCTCCTCCCGCCGGCCGCGGCCGGGCCCGCCCCGCTGCCGCTCCGCCCCCAGGTGCCGCGTCCCGACCGGGCCTCGTGCTTGGGAAAGTGCCGAGAAAAAACTTCCAGTGGTTCCCGCTCCGACAGGTCCGGAGAGACGGCGATTCGGGAGTCGCCCGGCATGGTTCCCCGGGAGCGGCGGGCGGGCCATGGGGTGGAGCGGCGGCCAGGCGCTGCGCCCTGCTTCGGTGGTGGCTCAGAGTGAGTCACGGCCTTGGGGCAGTTTTAGCAGCAGAGTGCCTTGAACCACGCTTGTCCCGGAATTGGCATTTGGGGTTTTTGTTTCTGAATCCCGCGCCTAAAAGCGTCCTTGGGTGTGGAGGCTGTTTCGCCTTAAGAGTTTACTTCTATTTTGCTCACTTCTCTTGGGGGCTGCATTAAACCATCAGCTGCACCTCAGACTCGCATTCCTCGTGGGAAATTTGCCGCTTATGTCCTGGCCACCTTCCGAAGCCCATGGAAGTCTTTACTGAATGTCAGTCTCTTCTCAGAGGTGAAAGGGCTGACCTCCAGAACTGTGTGCCCAGCATAGCGGCTTCTGCCATTCCCTAGCACTGAGCACATAAATCGGCCTTGCAAACACCTTTCCATGCCGCAAGGAAATATGAAGAAAACAGGAGTTTTTATTGTGTCTATCACAATACTATCTGGTTCAGCGGCAAATTGCAGCCTGAAGCCCTTCTGTAGCGTGCACAAGTGTCCCTCTGCTCCTCTTCCTCAATGAGGAAGAAACAGCATAAACACTGCTGTGACAATAAGACCGTGAAATTTTAACTTGGCAAGTTAAACAGAGTGGGCAAGCAGCTGGGATTTGAGACAGTCCAGTATCCCACTGTTCTCATCATCTCCCGTCTCGACCCATCTGTTATCCTCAGTCATGGAGCTGAAATGTAAGCTCTTTGGGACAGGGGCCGTCAGTCCCGTGCAGGGCTGTGCAGCACCCAGCTGTGCAGTGCCCAGCTTTCCCACCGCGGCACAAACAGCTGCCTTCTGGCACACACTGCCTCAGACCCCTATTGGAATCAGGAGGAGTTTTAGATCTAGTTCTAGTTCGGAGAACCAGTAGTTTAAAAGAAAGGGGGTATGCATGTATACCTAGAAAGTATAATATGTTCTCTTTTTTTGTTACATGGTTGTTGAAGGTATATTTTTAGTTCTTTATTATAAGGTTAACTCGTTTTAGCTGATTTCTGTATTTGCTTTCTAGTTTCTGAAATAGAACAGCTGTCAGTTAACCTCTCTGTCTATCTGAAAGATTAAAGTGCAGTTCCTCACAGCTTTAATATTGGTGCAACAACCAAAAGTTTCCTGATTGCCTATTGAAACATGTTGCCATTTATGCTTTAAAAAGGTAAAACAGCAGCTCTCCCCCCTCGCAGAGGCCTGAGTAAACAGATGGACCCTGCTAATGGTTTCACATGGGTTAATGTAACAGCACTTGTTTTAACTACACAGATGCTTCCCTAGGTTGCAGGCAGGATAGCAAATGTCTCTGGCCCTTGGTGTTTGGAACACTCATCTGCTGTCATCCTTCTCTGTCACAGGTCTTGGGCCAGTCCCTGTGCCTGATTTGGGTCAGATGACCACCATATTTTGTGAAGAAGGCATGCAAAGAGGGTTGCTAGCAGATTGCCAATCCAACAAATCGATTATTAATACTTAGTATTTTTGGTCATTTTCAAAGTGACCAATCTATTAATTTTTTTTTTTTTTAGCAGGACAACATTGCAGTGACTTTCTGTTCTTTTACTACATGATGTCCCCCAACACCAGCTGCTTTATAGCCTCCTCTGGACAAAAGAAATGGGACTCACAGGGGAAGGCAGCATGTCTCCTATTTCTCAAAAGGATCCTAGCCACATGGCTTACCTGTGCTACTCTTTGCAAACCCACATTACAGCTGCTTTTGAGTTGATCTTTCTCATGATTACATCACCACAATCTGATCTTTATTTGAGATGAGATTACCTAGTAGTCCACTGGCATGATGCAATTAGAAGTTCTGTCTATAGAATAAGGTGGTTTTTGTTTAAAAAGAATACTCATTGCCAAAAAAAAAATTTAAAAAACCAAGCAACTCTGTCCATTTTCTAGCAATGCCATATTAAAAAATGACACTTCTCCTTTGAATGCCTTCAGATGCTCTGTAAGTTAGTTTATGAGTTTTTAACCAGTACCAATTATTAGCAAAGATGTCCATTCCTTTTCTCTGCTTGCAGCCTTGCATGGCATTCATTGCTCTGCCAAGGACCTGGCTGCCAGCTCTCCAGAAGTGCATGGGTTTTCTTTTATTACCATTTTCCAGTGGTAAAAGTAAATTGATTTGAGAAGACAATTCAGAACAATTGTTGGCTGATTCCCTGTTTTGTTTTCTTCCTTTGTATATCCTCTTGCACTCCAGGTTCTCAAAGGGCTCTCAGGCCAGTTTGCCTGACAACACAGCGCTTAGTATGGACCATGATCTCAGTTTCACAGACCTAGGCACAGCAATATGCTCCCTCTCACCACCCCAGAGGAAAGACAAAAGAGTCTTTTGTCTAAACCCACAGCCACATCCTGTCAAAATGGCAGAAGAAGCTACACAGTTTGCCATCTTCAGCTTTCTCTTATGGCAGCAAGAGGAGGGCAGATGACTCTCTATAACAGAAGTCTATGGAAATAAATTATCCTTTCAAGAAAAAAAAAAGAGTATTTGGATAATTGAAAAAGCTTGGCATCATTTCATTAACTATATTGGCTCTACTCTATCTTAACAGTGCATTACAATTCTTTTCTAAACACAGTCTGGTTGACCCTCTTAGGCCTTAATTTTTCATTCTAAATCCATGACCTACCAGGTTACCTGCCTGGACCTGTTTTTTTGACATTTAGGTGGTCTTATGCCTGAGAAAGTGACCAAAGTGGACAACAAGGATGACATTCAAGTTTTCAACTAGCGTGAGGGTGAGAGGCAATAGATGATCTAAAACAAATACCTGCTGATACAGAGAGAACACACCAAAATTCCTTGAACAGTTGAGAATTAAGTTTGAGTTTGGACCAGGTTATCTCTTCACACCACATTGTTTTTGTCCCCTGGCTGCTGCATCACAGTGTGTCTGTTACCAGACTTACTACCACCCACCAGAGCTATGCCTCATTTCCCTTGGTGTGTGCAGGTTTGCAGGGACAGCAGCTCCCTTCTCTAAGAGAGGTAACTGCTGCTACTCATCTCGAGGGGGAGGAATAAACAACTGCTTAGCCAAAAGTCACATACCAAGTTCAAAATTTGTGGGTTTTGTTTAGGGCCACAAAAAGGTAATTTTCTTACTGGATCAATTTTTTCAGGGTCAGCATATTGCAGTTTGTGTTTTTGAGTGGAAGGAATGTTTATGTTCCACAAAGCACTAGGCAAGTTTTACATTACATTACATTCTAATTACATTATTCATTAAAGGCTCAAGGTTTATTTGTTTCATATGCATAGCTGAAAGCTGTGAAAATTGACAAATTTAAAGTGTGCAGAACAAAAACCAGTATATGGGTAAAAAATCCACTGTTTGCCTTGATTGACAATCCATAGATGAGCAGTTAGGTGCTCATCCCTAACCTTTTATTAGTCATAATGCCTCAAATACTGTCACTACAAAAAAAAAATAAAAATTAGGATTTATCTTTTCAAGCATTACCTTAATCACACACAGAGGCCACAGAAGTCAGAAGGACTTTTTGCACAACAAGAAAATTTTACCGTACATAACTAGAACTGAGAACTTCCCAGTAAGGTCAGTGAGTATTCAAATTCTTTGGAAATTGCAACAGGTAACTTAACTGAGTCAGAGTGAGTCAAGTTCAGAACTGGGTTTGGTTCAATCATCATGTAATTAAAAAAACTCATGCTAGTGGGAAACTGTTGTTGCATAAGAATCAACATCCTATTTCTCACTTTGATACCAGTACTGTTTAATGATGTCTCTCTTCTATACATGACAGTGTGGGAGATCTTGGTGTAGCCTGATGAGAGAAATAGGTCTGCCCAGTGGTGTTTCGAATACAAGGTTATGCCTGTTTATCAGTAACCAAAGTTAGGTTAGGAAGACCCACATATATGACTGCATTTATAATGGATCTATCAGATTTATTATTTTTCCCCCATAATAAAGTTCCTGTGCTACTTATTTCCTAAGGATAGGAGTTCTGTATTTGGATTGTCCTTGTTATTCAGCTTTAAACTACCCACACAAAGTTCCTAGTTGGGTGAAAGTTGCCATTGTCTGCTGGTATAGATGTATATATATATATGTCTGCATATAAATAGATGTGTGTGTATCTGTACACTGATGACTCTGCACAAAACTAATGTAGCCTGTAAGGAGAAAGGTCTTCTCCTGAAGTTTTTCCTCAGAGCAAAATCCTATAAACTTTAACAAGTATGTGTTTTTCCTTAAAGAAAGCAGATACAGTGTCTGTTTTGCCATACACTGGCCTTTTTAATTCCCTAGGTGGTTTTATTAATCAGGTCTCAAATCCCTGCATATAAATCATTTCCTCCACTGCATCTTGTGCTAAGGTAGCATGTTTAAGAAGAGGATCACAAACCTGCTGTGCAAAATAGAAATGTATTAAAATGTATTTCATAATTATTAGAAATTAGGTTATAAATTTATTTGGGTCTAGCTTAGGTCCATTTACCTGGCTATGCAACTATCTGATTCTCAGGTAAACAAAGCACAAAAGCAATTTGTGGAAAATTACAAAACTCACCATTATCAACATATAAAGTGAAACTCAAAGTCAAATGAGAGCATTTTTGTATAGAGAAAGAGGAAAATTATTTTATCTGGTCTTCATTTCCCTGCCCAAAAGGCACACAAGAGGAAAGATTTGTCT